AGACCCTACTCATCTGTATTTCCATGGAGAAAAAAAATCAAAACAAAAAAAATTTGTAATATTACCAGGCAACAAAGAAAAATGCCAGTTATGTTCCTATGTACATGTTTGTTGGACTCTATTTTTTCTTTTGGAACACAAGGTCTCAACTTTCATTTACCTAACAACTATTCTAAGTAACGAAGATTCCATAGATGTTTTGCCATAGGGTTTTTACCCAATGTATGATATTATAAAGTATGCCGGAAAGAAGCAATCAATGAAACGTTCTATGGGTAGAACAGGTTCGACGGACCTATAAGAGCCCATTCGCAATGAAATTTCTCTCGAAGGACCAAATATTGTTTGGAAAATTATAAAGATTGTCTAGAAATATGTAAAAATATACACACAAGCTGATACCATATATACATTTTTAATTCATTCGATGAAACAAACTTCTTCCGCATGATTATCATTGAATTACTAACAGTATACAAATGGTCGGAATGTGGCCTCCTATCGTATACTGTCGCTACTTAACGGTGAATCATATTATATGAACCATCCTAATATTGATCAGCTGTTAAGCTAATCAGAGGCTTTAAGAATTATTTTAATTATTAATTTAAAACATAGATAATCATATCCTAGACATCTAAAAAAAGACATCATAAATAATTGATTGTGAACCCTCCTAATATTGATCAGCTGTTAAGCTAATCAGCTGACTAGGAGTAGCAGCTTTATAAAAGTATAAAGTATGTCATCCTATTTTCTAGTCTACTTAAAAATAGATGACGTTATACCTTGTTTAATCCATTATGTGAACTATCCTAATATCGGTCAGCTGTTAAGTCGATCAGCTGACTAAACAAAATGTTACTACAGTTCTCTGGCTTATAAGGATATGTCTTATTAAAGCAAACATCAAATTTTGCAGTGTACATGGTAAACGATAAATCGTTTGATGTGAACTATACAAATATTTATCAGCTGTTTGGCAGATCAGCTGATCAGCAATGGTCTTCTTAAGAATTATTATTTTGAAATTGGGTTTGGTAGTTTATATTTTGGTTTTTAATCTAAATTTCTGCAAAACTAGCAATTACTGTCCAGTCATTCCTGCTAAAACATATCCTAGATCGAAAGGACCAAAACAAAAAACTCATTCGTTCTTAACTCAAACGACCAAACATAAAATGAGTATATTTATTATGAAATACAAAAAATATATTGGAAGCCTCGGAGTTTTTGTATGACCTGAACATACAGGAAGCAACACTTAGAGGTTAAGAGCTTCTGAAATACTAATTCAGAACCTCTCAAATAAGATTCAGAACCAATATATATCTTCTCATTCCTATTAAGAGCCTCTAAAGGACTCCGCAGGCAAAATTTAGATCTCCTCGTATACAATTTGAATCTCGTTAGAGTTCTGTAGATTTTAGTCTGACCTCGAAGGACCAATAATATCTTAAAACAAATAATATATTAATAAAAACAAATAATATATTTTGAATTTAGAAAAAAATGATATTGAAAACGTTTTTGCTGTTCTCGAAGGACCAAATATTCCACATGATTTATGTTCCGCAAGTCGAAGGGATAAATAATAAATTCTAATGCGATTTTTATGGTAGCGAATATATATGTTATGGGAAATATTTTATAATGGTGGGGAAGAATTTAGACTGGCCATTTTTTTTATTAAGATGATAACTGGTTGTTATCAGTCTTCGAGTCATCTCGAATGACTAAAAATTCTAAAAGACCATACAATAAAATTCTAATAAGTTTTCCATAATAGGAAATATAAAGACATGGAAATACTTGTGAAGATAGATTTCGACGGGTCACATTTTTATTTAAATGATAACAAAAAGTGTTGTCAACGGTCTTCGGGTCATCTCGAAGGACCAACAATTCTAAATTTTTATTTAAATGATGACAAAAAGTGTTGTCAACGGTCTTCGAGTCATCTCGAAGGACCAACAATGCTAAATAATTATAGTTCTCTTTAGTCGAAGGACCAACTAATCAAATTCTAATAAGATTTTCATTGCAGGAAATATTAAACATGTATGCAATTTACATCAACACAACAATTTTTTATAGTTCTCTTTATAGATTTTCATAGCGGGAAATATTAAAAATGTATGGAATTAACTAGATTTCGCCGGGTTACATTTTTATTTGAATGACAAGAGTTTGTTATCGGGTTTCGAGTCATGTGAAACCCAAATATTCTAAATGTTTAAAGTACCGCAGATCGAAGGACCTAATTATCAAATTTTAATTCGATTTTCATAGTAGAGAATGTAAAATGTATGTATTGTGTGGACAATATTATATAATAATTATGATGGACAATGGGTTTTTATCTATCTTCGAGTCATCTCGAAGGACCAAATATTCTAAATAATTATATTTCCCCAAAACAAAGGACTATTCTAGTTAGATTTTTATAGTAGGTAATATAAAATATATGGGGAACACTTTAGAAAGGTGGAGAAGGATTCTGCTTGACCACTTGTTTATATAGATAGCAAGAGGTTGTTCTCGATCTGTGTGGACCCTTGTTTTATTTATTTTCCAGCCTAGTGATACCTCATATGTCAGAAGACACCATTTTAGTGATTTTTTCAAAATGTTTTCTATTCAAAATAGAAAAAGGTGTTCTTGAATTTTGTATCTCTTCGTGTTGTATTTCCATTAAATAAAAAAAATACATTAAATTGACATTGAGATTTTTTATGTAAACATATTCTGTACAATAACAACGACAACAACAACAATGATAACCGTTGAACATTTCATGACATTGTCAGTCAGTCAGTCTTTTTCTCCAATGCCGTATGACTTTCTTGTCTTGACAACATGTATCGTCGTCGGTGTCGTCGTCTCCATTGACAACATCATCTTTGGCAATGGTATGGCAAACATTATCTTCAGCAGTCATGTTCAACTCATGTTTCCTTGGTAAAAAAATGAAGAAAAAATAAAAAAAAAATCTTTTAAAAATTATAATGTCTTTGTCTCTGCAGAAAATTCAATTGAAAGACTATCCTGAAGCCTGAGCAGAGTGAGAGAAATGTCAGATTCAATTTCAGAGTTCATTTTTCTTTCTTTAATGGAGGATGATGGTTGTTATTTTTCTCAGTGTATTTTTGGTTTTATGCCACACCATTCTAAATTCAAATCAGCTACAGCAACAACAACAATGTATGCAAAATTTGAAATAAAAAGCAGAAGACGAAGAAGCAGCAGCAGGGGTATCCTTTTAACGTTTTTAATGATCAATTTGTAGAGTATATGATATTTCTATTTAGCCATATATGCTGCATGCCAAACAAACAGACAGACACACAGCTAGTCAGCCAACCAGGCAGGCAGCCAGTAAGCCAGCCATCCATGCCTCACATTCAACCAAGCCAGGTTACTGCTGCAGCAGTGGCAAAATATGCATAATGTGTTGCATGAATGGGAATACAAAATGTTATGTTGTCCGGGAACCCAATGGTGATTGGCTGTGTTGTTTCAGGTAGCACAGCTCACATAGAGAACGGGAGACCTTCATTGATGACAATGATGATGGCCATGATGTTGTTTGATGGCCATGTGATGGCCTATTCTAGGTATAATTTTGTTGTTGACTATTTGGGGTTTTCAGATCCATTATCATAGCAGAATAATCATGTTGAGAAACGTGTTCGACATTGTATTTGAGAGTGGGGTAGTTTTGAATACCTGGTTATGTCTCTTTGATAGGCTACATTTTCATTCGTTTGACTCTTCAACCATCCATTCATCCTGGGATAGGCATTCAACCATCCATCTCGAAATGATTATGGTTCGAAGGTTTTTGTTTCGCTTTTTTCTTGTTGTTGCCCGGTTGGCGTTATGGTAAATGTGTTAGGTTGGCTAATGATGACATTGGTGATATTAGTCAGTGGCACAACGAGCTAATGGAGATGGGACAGTGGAATAGAGAAACCAGTAAGGAAAATAGTAAAGTCGGACTGGGCCGACCATATGATACCCTTCACCACTTTGGGTATATTCAACACATGAATCCTAACAGACGTCGCATTTTTAAAGGATATAGATTAAAGGATACAGATATAGAAGTTATATATAAATCTGAACCGATTTTCAGGAAACTTAGCACACATCATTGTAGACCTAATTTATTACGCTGTGATATTAAGGGACCAAATTTCGTGCACATCACGAAACATAACACACATCATGCAAGACCTAATTCATTACCCTGTGCCAAATTTCGTGCAAATCGAAAGATATATACGGACTTTGGTGCACCATTTACATTAAATCGGACGAAAATATAAATGGGAGCTATATCTAAATCTGAACCGATTTTCAGGAAACTTAACACACATCATTCTAGACCTAATTCATTACGCTGTGCCAAATTTCGTGCAAATCGAAAGATATATAGGGACTTTGATGCACCATTTACATTAAATCGGACGAAAATGTATATGGGAGCTATATCTAAATCTGAACCGATTTTCAAGAAACTTAACACACATCATGCTAGACCTAATTTATTACGCTGTGCCAAATTTCGTGCAAATCGAGAGATATATAGGGACTTTGGTGCATCATTTATATTAAATCGGACGAAAATGTATATGGGAGATATATCTAAATCTGAAATTTCAGTAGGGTTCGTCCTTGGGCCAAAAAAGTGACCTATGCCAAACTTCATCTAAATCGGATCATAAATGTGACCTGTACTCTGTTCACAAAAATACATGGACGGACGGACGGACATGCGTAAATCGACTCAGAAAGTGATTATATGCATATTCTCAAAAGGAACCATGTTTCTATCTCGTTTCCTTTTGCCTGTTAAAAACATATGCACAAAGACATAATACCCTGTACTACAGTGTGGTGAAGGGTATAAATATAATAGATAATATTGAACATTACGAAGGACCAAATTTACAAAAAGCCTCCGATTTTTAACTATTTTTTCCATAGCCTAAATCATGGGTAAATAATAACATCATTTTGATTGCTCTTGGCGATAAATATCGTAGCTCGAAGGACCAATTCCATGCTTTGCCAACTCGAAGGACCAAATATTAAAATATATCAAATCTAAATGTAGAACCAAAAATGCTATAAAATTAAAGAGGTTATTGTTAATGATCTTATGTCGATTTAAATAACATTTTAGCTATCCAAAATTGAGTTACTTGTCTAAATCTGGGTATTGCAGTGCTCTAAATTTATGCTCACGGTTTTAGTACAACTACAAATTTTTAATATTAATTTTTTTCTCGAAGTTTCTATGCGTCCTGTGTGGTTAAATAAAGCTCTTGTACTTTTGTATTGAAAAACAAAAAAAAAATTGCCAAACGTAGTTATCGTAGTTGGAAGGACCAACTATGCATTCTCAACTCGAAGGACCAAATAACCAAAAAAAAAGTTAGATAGGCAGTTAGCCCACCATGAAAATCTGGGAATCTGTTTCACCTTCTCAAAGAATCCAAAATTCTAAATGAATATTATTTTGAAGTCGGAGGATCAAAGGAAAAACTAACAAAGCTCAGTCACGATGAATTGTTACCTCGAAGGACCAAAAATACATTGAAAATTTATTGCTGTTATATTTTCCAAATAACCAAAAAAAAAGTTAGATAGGCAGTTAACCCACCATGAAAATCTGGGAATCTGTTTTACCTTCTCAAAGAATCAAAAATTCTAAATGATTATTATCATGAAGTCGAAGGATCAAAGGAAGAACTAACAAAGCTCAGTCACGATGAATTGTTACCTCGAAGGACCAAAAATATATTGAAAATTTATTGCTATTATATTTTCCGAATGTAGAAAAATTCTCTACAAATGTTTGATGTTGGTCCTTTTGAGACAATATTTTTTCACGATGAATTGTTACCTCCAAGGACCAAAAATACATTGAAAATTTATGTCTAGAAAAATTCTCTACAAATGTTTGATGTTGGTCCTTTTGAGACAATATTTTTTGACAAATCGAAGGACCAAAAAATCCGACGGTCTGATTTTGTTGTTATTAACCTTTAAAAAAATAAAAACATTTTTGTTATCTCGAAGGACCAATCAAATTATCAAAATTTCCCGCATCGAAGGACCAAATATGGAAATAATCAATAATGAGCTCAACTTTTTAATTATCTTGATGGACTATTTTTTTGAATAGCTGAGGAACGCCATATATTTTTTATGTTCAGGGCCAATATTTTTCCATTTTAGACCACTGTCCTTTCCTTTGCACATTTTTCCCCCATACTATTTTTTTTTCTATTCTAGTTTAGCTTATTACCAGTTAATACTTCTTTGTTTTGTTATTTTTGTACCATGGTTTTCTAATAATTTGCTTAACATGATTATCAATTGTTATTATTATTTCATGTCGGGTTATCCATGTTTGTAAAGTGTTCGACCGGTCGGTCGGTCGGACTTCGACTGCATGTTCTCTTCAGTTGCCCACTAATAGTTTTATTAATGGCCAGCAATGTGTATGACAAAAAACGTGCCAGGCATTTTAAATGAACTTTTTTTTTGATGTCATTCAATTCATATGATTTAGATTAAATTGAATATAACAGATTGTGTTAATTTGGAAAAAAATGGAATGTGAAATAATTAAATAATATTGGTCTATGATAGGCATTAATAGAGAAAAACTAAAAAAGAAAAATATTTAAAGTGTCACACAAAATAGTTGGAAAATATTCATATCTTTGTAATCATTTAAAGAATTTTAAATATTCATAAATTGGAATAAATAATTTATAGAAATTTTATTAGTTTTTTTTTATGAAATACAAATCGAAAAAGAACAAATTGTGTCGAATGTCGAATAATTAAATAATGTCTTTAGAAGCATTTAAGGAATTTTAAATACCAAATAATCGGTAAAATATTCTCTAGAATAATAAATACTTATTTTAATAAATAATTTTTAGGATTTAATTTAAATTTGTTTCTTTACATTTAATAAATTTAGTATAAGCCTTTATTTTTATTACCTGAAACATATTTTTTTTCTTTTATTTTAGAAATATAATATTTTTCTTCTATATTTTCTAAATTTAATATTAACTCCCTGTCTCTCCTTGTCTTTACAGCGCAATATCTATCGCCTCGTATTATTGAACATCCCACAGATTTAGTGGTGAAAAAGAATGAACCGGCCACACTGAATTGTAAAGTTGAAGGCAAACCGGAGCCAACAATTGAATGGTTTAAGGTAAGTCCTCAAAGAAAAACACTAAGGAATAAAAAGAGATAAATATTTTCTAAAGGAAAATATTAAAAAGAAAAATATTTTTGAATATATTCCCAAAGAAATATTGGAGACATGTTAAAAATTATTGTCCCCAATTTTAGATTCAAAAAAAAACTTTTGATTCCGATAAAGAAAACCGACAAATATTTCGAGATATTGCAAATAATATGACCTTAGGGTGGAGACAGGTAGCACTAGAGTTGGAACTAGTTGAATGAAACAAAAGGAACAATCGGTGCTATGTCTGCTTCTTTCCTTCATCTGCTCTCTAGTTTTGCTAGTTCAAATGAACAATTTCTCAAAAGGAACAATCGGAACTAGATCCGTTTCGTTCGTTCATCTAGTTCCTTCAGTTACTCCAATCGTTCCTTTTTTGTTCTCCTTCTCCGTGTTCCCTTTTGAACAAATCGTTCAACTAGATATTTCTGTTCACTAGAAGACTTAATGTCGTGTATTAAAGATTTAATAAAATTAAATGAATTATGGAACTAGTTTCATTTGCGGCGTGAATCCAAAAATATTGAACCGCTTCAGAAATGAGATTGTCTTAATCGCCATAGAGTTTTAATTCCAATCAAGAATACCTATATATTTAATGGAATCTCCGATGAGTATTTCGAGACAAATTTAAGATATGATCCACCTTATGGTGGAGATTCTTACTCCACCATAAGGTGGACGAACCTCCACCTTATGGTGGATGTTCGTTCTGGAACGAAATAATTCAAATTTCTTCTTTCGTTTATTTAGTTCCTTCGGTGGTTCCAGTTGTTCCTTTGTTCCACCTAGTTTCTTTTGATGTAATCGTTCATCTAAATCTTTCCGATCATGGGCCGAATTAACTGACCAATGAAAAGTTAAACTACTTTGGAACTAAATGAAACATACTAGTTCGAAGGAATTATGGAATATACAATTCTATTTATGGTGGAGGCTACACTAGAATTGGATGTTTTCGAAACGAAAATAAAATTAAATAAACTATTCCGCGAGTTGAACGATCGGAACTAGATCCGTTTCATTCGTTCATCGAGATCGCTCAGTTGCTCCCGTTGTTCCTTATTTGCTTTCATTCACCCAGTTTCTTTTGAACCAATCGTTCGTCTTGATTTTACCCTGCATTGACCGAATTAACTGAAATATACCAATGAACGATTGAACTAAAATAAATTATGGAACTAAATGAACTAGTTGATTTTGCGAGGCGAATCGAAAAAAGTGAACTGTTTCAGGAATAATATCGATTATAAAAAAATAAATGACAAATTTAATACACAATTCAATTTATGGTGGAGACAAGGTACACAAACTGGTAAAACTAGAGTTCGTTCGTTGAGGAACGAACTAGTTCAAATGAACTATTCCGTAAAAAGAAAGATCGTTCTTTCGTTCGTGTAGGTCCTTTTACTCCATTCATTACTTTGTTTGTTTTTCTTCGTTTAGTTATTTTTAATCTAATCATTAATCTAGATCATTTTATTAATTTACCGAGTTATCGGACGTGTAGCAATGAACGATTGAACTAAAAGAGAACTGTGGAACTAAATGCATGATGGCATTTGCGGCGTGAATCCTAAAATATTGAACCGATTCATGGTTAAATCGATATAGGATTTTAATTGCGATCAAGTACACGATTGAACTAAAATGGAACATGAATGATGACCCAGTTCCTTTGACGGCATAAATCCTAAAAACACTGAACCGCTTCAACATGACTAAATCGATATAGAATTTTAATTGCGATCAATATCCTTGTTCCTTTTGCGGTGTGAATCCTAAATATATTTAACCGCTTCAACATGGTGAAATCAATATAGGATTTTAATTGAGATTAAGATCAGAATTGAACTAAAACGGAACTATGGTGACCTAGTTCCTTTTGCTGCATGAACCCTAACATATTGAACCGCTCCAACATGGTTAGACCGTTATAGGATTTTAATTTGTGATCAAGAACAGGATTTAACTAAAACGGAAATCTGGAACTAAATGAATGATGACCTTGTTCCTTTTGCAGCGTGAATCCTAAAAATATTGAACCGCTTCAAAATGGTGACATCGATATAGAATTTTGATTGAGATTAAGATTAGGATTGAAATAAAACGGAACTATGGAACTAAATGAATGGTGACCTAGTTCCTTTTGCCGCATGAACCCTAAGATATTGTACCGCTTCAACATGGCTCAATCGATATAGGATTTTAATACGATCAAGATCAGAATTGAACTAAAACGGAACTATGGAACTAAATGAATGGTGACCTAGTTCCTTTTGCCGCATGAACCCTAAGATATTGAACCGCTTCAACATGGTTCAATCAATATAGGATTTTAATTGCGATCAAGATCAGGATTGAACTAAAACGGAACTGTGGAACTAAATGAATTATAATGGAACATGACCTAGTTCCGTTGACGGCGTGATCCCTAACATATTGAACCACTTCAACATGGTTAAATCGATATAGGATTTAAATTGCGAACAAGAAAACCTATATTTAAGCGGTCTACGGTGAATAATTCGATATGAAAAATGTAATAGACACTTCATTCTATTGTGAAGGCTATAAAAAATTTTGAACAGTGTTTTCATAAATAGGCATTTGGTAGTAACTCACTTGAATTCATTCGAACCGAATATGACAAAAATAGTTTCGGAATTTTTATAATAATTTCTTTATTTCGTTGAATTCCTAAAAAAATAATTTTTGTTAAACATTTTACTTATTTTCTCTTTGTCCCTCTCTCTCTCTCTCCCTTTCACAGGACGGCGAACCTGTCAATACAAATGATAAGAAATCACATCGGGTGCTCTTCAAGGATGGTGCCCTGTTCTTCTATCGCACTGTGCAGGGCAAAAAGGAACAGGACAGTGGTGTCTATTGGTGTGTGGCCAAAAATCATGTTGGCAAAGCAGTCAGTCGTCATGCCACTTTGCAAATAGCGGGTAAGTGTCGGGAAAAATAACAACAACAAAAATGAAAAAAGAAAATAATCAGCGACTGCAAACATGTCTTAAACAGCCGCTAATGGCTGCAAGAATGTTGTTGCGGTCGTGGTGATGGCGGTGGATGACTTGCCACCTCCGAACAAGTGGCAAATAAGCAAATTAACACTTTTGGTGTGGAGGTGATAGGAAAACAGAAACAAAACCAATACAGCAGCTACTTCCTACATCGAATGGAAAAGGGAGTAAAAAGGGAAGGGCTATTATCTCCTTCCTAGGCAGAAGTTTAGTGTGAGGGGTGGCCTCATGTGGTGGAAAATATTTAGAAAAAAACACCCAACCATTAACACTTTTTTATGTACAAAAAACATCAGCAAATAAACAACTTTTTGCGAACTGGGGAAAAAAATACTGTGGACAAGTTTCTGTCATTGCAGTTAGGTGTTGATGACACCACGATGTTATCTTGGAATGGTGTAAAAAATATATATGAGGATCCATAGACACAGAATACCCTCTACCCTAGAAGCTGGCAGCATTTCACACATTTTGGCCAATAAAACATTTCGAGCCACCGCCATGGTAGTTGGCCATAAATCTATCATTGTGGCGGTTGTTAAGCAAAACATCAATTGTATCGTTGATTTCCCTATGCAACAGCAGCAACAACCACAAAAAACCTGTGGAGGGCAGATCCATACTCCAATTCACACTGCAGTCTCGCGTTTTTGCCACTTCTCTTAAAAAGGGGAAAATTTGAAATGATGAAGTGCTTTTTCTGAGGATGCTTCTGCTCATACGGAGACCCTAATGGTTATGTTATGCTTTAGAATATTTATTGGTTACACTCCTAACGTCCTCCTCCTTCTGCTGCTTACTGGGTAGCAGATATATGAACAAATTTTTTGCCACTCCAAATCGTATGAAAATTTAAAATGTGACAATAATTTGTTGTTTTTTCTTCAACGACCATTTTGTGGGTTCTCGTTATTTTTATGCGTTATTCCTTTTTCCGATTTTTTTTCTTGGTTTGTTGTAATATTTCGTACTACATGTGTTGAATAATTTAGTTTTTTTTTGGTTGGTACTTCTCGCTCATTTCACACAACACACATAAATATATTTACACTTATGTTGGCCTGGGGAATAATTTTTGTTTTTTTTTCGTCGTGTGGAAGGAAGCCTCCTTTTTCGTTCCCAATGTAAATGCAACTAAATCATTTTTATGACTTAAATGGAATTTGAACGGGGAACCGACAAAAAACCAGCCGCTAAAAATAATTTTGAAAAAACATCTAAACGACCCGTCTAATGTTCAATTAGAAGTGTGAATGAGTCGGGTAGTCATTTCGGGATTTTTTATATATGTTTTTATTTTTTAAGGGTTTCGAAAATTTCGTTGAAACATAATTTTGTTGTTTTACATGAACATTATTGAAGATTTAATGGTTTCTTTAGAAAGTTGTTAATATTTGTTGTAATGGAGAATGAAATGTGGGGTCGGATTTTCGTACAGGCAGCAGAAATTAAAAAAAAAAAAAAATCAGTGAGCGAAGCGGTATAGTTGGACGGGCCGACCATACGATACCCTACACAACTACCACGGAACTCTAACTTTCTGTGGATGTGTATTCCGAGTTTGGGCAATTTTTCGTGATATTTGCTCCCTCTAGCCCGATTAGAGGTCAACAGCACCTCTTCCTTACACTGACATATTTTCCGAATATCACTCATATTCAGTACAGCGCTTCTAGTTAATTCTCCAGATTCCATTCACCGTAGGCTGTGTTGTGATTTTTGGCTTATTATTGTCATCGACTCGAAAAAACACAAAAAAAAAACAAAAAGTATTCGGTCCATTTCATCCCATAGTATGGAGGGTAATTAATTTTGTTCTTCCGTTTGTAACTCATCCCGGGCCCCCAGGGTCGCCCCCTGCGTACGTCCCTGGTTACACCCTCATTCGACATAAGGCTGAGGGTATAATTATCCATTAAAAATTTCTAAAATTTGTATTATGGTTTACATTATGGTTTACATAATCCATATTTAGAAATGTCGGCATAGGTCCACTTTTTGGTATGTTCCCTATATTTTCATTTCTAGTACCTTAATTTCTAGTAGCTGTTTGGCCCGGCTGAACTTTACGCTTCTCACTTGTTTTTTTTTTTATTTTAAATTCTCATAGTATAGCAAATGTCCAAACCGAAAGTTATCGATATTGCCTCCAATATTGGGTATTTTTGGGTCGAAATTTTTTACATTGGTTGGCTTCTAATTTGGTAGAAAATCTGTCTAACATAAAAGCTATCAATATTGGTCAACTTTTCAGAGTTTTCGGGCCTTTGGTCATATTTTGCGATCAAAATGGCTTCTATTTTTAATTTTGGATTCTCAGTGGGTGCCAAAGTTTTCTGCTTCAAAATCGGTCGCCGTTTTGGTATAACCGCCACTATTTTCTATTTGGAAGATTTCAGACATATTTTCGAAACGTCATGCGTAATTTTTAAGGTCATAGCCAAACCTGAGCATCGTTATTTCCTTTTCTCCTGAATTTGGTTCATTTTTATTGCACGTTTTTTCTTTTTTTTTTTTGGTTTTTGACCAACAATATTTCTATATATTTTTTTAATAATAAATTATCCATCTTTGGATCACATTTCTTTTTCTTTTTTTCTCTATAGAAAAAAATGAATCATTTTCTTTCAACACCACATAGAAAGCGAGAGCTTTGTCGGCTTATCATGTGTCGTCTATTGACATTCTAGATAATTTGTCATACCCTTCATTATTCATCTCAGAAGGTGTCAGTTATCATTTCCTTTTTCAATTTCTTTGTTGTTCTACCAACAACAGAAGACGATGAAGAACCCAGAATACCGATCTGACAATAGCTGTCATTAAATAAAAAACTTACTAAGTTAATATTTGTATTATATTTTATTATTATTATTGGTTTAGCTGTAATGAGAAAGAGAGAAAGACTGAGGATTTTCCAGGCAACACATGTATGGACAACAATTACAACAAAAACAACGTTTACATTTATACCTTTAACACCACTTGCATTATTTACAAAAAATGTAAACAGCAACTACAACTACAGTTTTCCTCTTTATGTTCGGAAAACAAGTGAGGGAGCAGAATGTGTCGGGCTAATACCCTTTGAAGATAAAATAAAAATATTAATTTGTTTGAATATTTTCTTGTTTGAATATATGAGAGTGCTGTTTGATTTGCGTTTTATTTTCCCAACTTAAAAACAACACGATGTCAATAATGTAAAGAAATGAGAAAAAACGAAGTTTCCGACTTCGAGTGGGAGGAATGAAAACACACCTTTGTCATGGTGTGGATAATGTAACAAATATTTAACCACTTTTTTATAATGTTGTTGGAAATGTTTTTTTAATAAATATTTAAATATTTACCCTTTGCACAGTGCATGCTGGGTAGAGTATAAATGTCAATAAGGTTATCTATAGCACACACACTCACACACACAATATCATTGTCATGCAAATAATGACAGCTTCAACACCATGTCAATAATGACAGCTGTTGATATCAAATCTTATAAAAATTCCATTTTTTTTATAAAGAAAAATTAAATTTTTTCTTAGAAAAAATCGTTTTTGAAAATACATAATGCAAAATTATGTTAATTTGTATTCAGAAAAAAAAAACCGAAAACGTTTAACAAGATTTCTAAGAATTTTTGCGGAACACATTTTTTCATTGTTTTGCTCTGTAGGCAGTTACATACTACATAGGAGCTGTCAAATTCCAACATTGTTAAATGTAAAAAAAATATCATGTTTGAGGTGCGAAAACAATAACAACACCAACAACATTCCAAAACACCTCCTGTCTCTACTCTAATTAAAAATTCTTTAAGGCACCTCATTCCTGTTAATCGTCATCGTCAGAACAAAAACAATTCAAGCAACAACAATAAATACCCTCGATTGTACAAAAGAAGTCACGTCACGTGTTATGTTTCTACTGTTGTTGTTGCAGGTAATTAATTAATTAAAAAATTATTTTAATAGAATAATCAAAGAGCATGATGGCTTAGAGGAAGCCATGGGAGTGTTGTGAAAAAAATGACAATACCGAAGAAACCTACAGAAATTAATTGAAATTTCATGCTTTGCATAACAAAATCTGTGTGTGGGGTGCTCGTGGGTTATCATGTCTTTGTTTTATTCTAATTGAAATTTTGTTTTTTTCTTGACGGTTTCGTTATGGAATGAGATTTGAGAATTTTTGAAAAAAAAAAATAGTTATTATATTGATAAGAAATAAGTGAAAAGATCAATGAATTCAAATTTAATAAAGAAGAGCGGGAATATTAAAAATCTTAAAAATAAAAAAAAAATGTCTTTAAAAATTAATTTTTTTATACCCTACCCAACTATGTTGTCAGGGTATAATAGCTTTGTATGGTAACAAAAATTTGTAACGTTGAGAAATATTGGTCCTATCTTTTAGTATACCGATCGTAATATCTCAACTAGCCGTGTCGATCTAGACATGTGTGTCCGTCCATCCGCCTGTCGATTATAATTTGTAAACATGATACAGGCCACAGCTATGGATCAATCGTCTCGAAATGCAACGGCAGGGGCATTCATGGGCCACAACCCCCTGCCGTTGCTAATGATCGGTTAATATTTAGGGGATGAAGTGGCATTCATGGGCATGCCGTTGCTAATGATCGGTTAATATTTAGGGGATGAAATAGACCAAGAACTTTATTTTTGTCTATTTTTCTGGTCGCTCTAGAGGCCACAATTATAACCCGAACACAATGACATTTTACACCAAGCAGGGAATCTGGCAAAAGCATAAGCATGACTGTTTTGATGAAGATTGGTCAATATTTAGCGGGCCAAATGGACCCTGACTTTTGTGTGAAAAATTACAAATTTTGTATTTTATAGCGTATATATTTACCCCTGAATGACATAGACCCGAGAAGTTGATAGTATATCCAA